CATTGCTTTGAAATTAAAGAATTAAATTAATAGGTAAACAAATTTTGACTAAATTAAGATAGTCATCTTTAATTATTTTTATAACTTTTTCAAATCAACTTGGGTTTTCATCAAACTATACAGCTATCTCAGTTATATAGATCTTACTGAATCCCAAGTTGTTGTGTATTTTGGAGTATTGCTGTCAAATTTAAGGATTAAATTAATCTAGGTAAAAAAAAAGCTAGAATTTGCAGTTTGGACTCAATTCAGATAGTACACTTTAATTTTTTTTATAACTTTTTCAAATCAACTTGGATTTTCATCAACATATACAGCTATCTCAGTTATATATTGATCTTACTGAATCCCAGATCGTTGTGTAGTTTGGGGTATTGCTGTCAAATTTAAGGATTAAATTAATCTAGATTAAAAAGAAAGCTAGAATTTGCAGTTTGGACTCAATTCAGATAGTACACTTTAATTTTTTTTATAACTTTTTCAAATCAACTTGGATTTTCATCAAACTATACAGCTATCTCAGTTATATATTGATCTTACTGAATCCCAGGTTGTTATGTAGTTTGGTGTATTGCTGTCAAATTTAAGGATTAAATTAATCTAGTTCAAAAAAGCTAGTAAACTTTAAATTGTTTTATAACTATTTCAAAGCAACTTGAATTTTCATCAAAATCTACAGCTATCTTCATTATATATTTATCTTACAAAAAAACAGGTTATTTGGTAATTTGGGTTATTGCTGTCAAATTTAAATATTTAAATTATAGGTATCTATCTGAATTTTGTCAAAACTGAAAATTTTAGCCTTTTTTACCTATTAATTAAGTCCTTAAATTTGACAGCAATACACCAAAACACAAAACAACCTGGTATTTTGTAAAGATAGCTGAAAAGTTTGATGAAAATCCAAGCTGATTTGAAAAAGTTATAAAATTTTTAAAATGACACCTTTGTTTTGTTAAAACAAGAATTAATATAATCATGATAATAGAACTTTCATAACAATCCTTGATAACCTTTTAAAAAAGGAAATGTGTTCCAAAGTTACAGTAAAAATTTATTTTAATCAAATTTAAATAATGTTTGTCAAATTTAAAGACAATGCATACAAGAAGCACTTTAATAAGGTTTAATTACATCAGTACATGTGTGTTTTACAGGTAAAAAGAAAGCCATACTTTTCTTAAACTCGTGTATTACATTTCGAATGTAGGACAGAAAGTCAAAGGACAAAAAGTCACAGACAAAATTAAAAGTCACAGGACAAAAAGTCACAATTCAGTTTTGAGATTATTTTTCTTAAACAAGAAAACACTTATTAAAAAAAAAACATTATTGTACTTTTCTTGAACTGTAGTATATAAAGCAACTTTGTAAACAAAATTTATATAAAAAAAGTATTAAAATGATCAAATAATTGCTATGAAAACAAAATGTCAAAGTGGGTTAGTACTTAACCGGCTTCATGGTGCCAAGAAATATATCTTTTGCATGATTAAAATTTAATAAATCTTTATTTATCAAGTCTAATGAACAATTTCCTCAACTGTAAAAAAAATATATGTAATAAAAAGTAAATATTTAAAGATCTTACTATTAAATATTCAAACAAGTGTATACATATTATTTGTGACTTTTTGTCCTATCAAATTTGTGACTTTTTGTCCTGTGACTTTCTGTCCTTTTACCTACTTATCTAGTGAATTCAAAAGGCCTTGCGATTTAAGTTTAACAGGATGTTGCAATTTTGAATGAATGTTATTTAGAATTTAATACTCTCTGGTAGGTGTGATCTTTTTTCCCCAAGCAGGAGGTATTGCTTTATACTTCACCACTAATCAGAAGAACAATTTTAATCATTTCTTTAATGTTTGATCCCTTTTTGATATATTCATATAAAATATATCAACATGTCGAGACAATGTCGAGCCTAGTCGAGTAAAATGTCGAGACTAGTCGAGTAAAATGTGAGCACAAAATCTGGTCTTTTCAGACTCTGAGCAGTTTGCAGTGTAGATAATGAACAAATTCAAAGTGATGAAGAAGATGACCTTGTAATAAGAGCCTATGACAGTTCTGACAGTGACAATGACAATGATGATAATAATACTAAATGATGAAAACAGTAGTAACAGTAGTAGTAGTGGCAGTGAAAGTGAAATTAAAAAGGAATCTTATTTGCCTTCTTCAAGGAGGAGATCAGTTAAAATTCCAGACAAATTCAAAGACTACTATATGTGATCTATGTTAATCTGATAAAAATGAAGTTAAAGTTTGTTTGATTTATTCATAGATTATATAGGACATATACTTATTTAGTAGATATTTCATATAGGACAGAAACTTTTTTTGGTAAATTCAGAGGGTAGGACATAGATTATTTTAAGGGAGAAATATGAATTGCACCGGTCCCAACCCCCCGATTAATATTGACCGATCCCTCAGTGCAAAAGAAGTCTTTTAGGTGTGTCTGAGGATTTTGTCAACAGTAAAATAGTTAATAATATTTATTTTGTTGTTATTCAAATATTATATATACAAATGTAGATGTAAGAACATATACCCCACAAAATATGGGGGGATAGAATATTTCAAATATTGGATTAATGTAGAAAAATACTCTGTATGTTTCTTAACCCCTGTACAAAAAGTAAAAATGGATCAGAAATGGCATTTGTTAGAAACAGCTTTTATTTAATTAATTAACAAAATCAATTGTAATATTTATATTTATATCATATTTATATCTTATTATATCTTTATGACTTGAATGATCTTATAAGTGTTACTTACATTTTTTTAAATGTGTAACTTATACTGTAGTATGTAATTTCACATGTTTCTTCATGAAAAATAAAGAAATTACAAAAAAAAAAGTATGTATAACCTCAATCTTAAGCAAATCCGCTTACCAAACTTAGATTACTGGATCCGCACATAGTAAAAATAATAAAAGCAATAATTTCCAGTATTCTGGTAAGATAAATAAAAACAGGAATTTAATTTAACTTTTGAATATAGTTAAAATTTTAAAGGCATTTTATTTGAACATTTCCTTGACATAATGAACTAGTATTTGCTGTAAAGAGCTTGACTAAAATATTGGCTGTAAAATAAAATATAGCTATAACTCAAATTTTTAATTTATTGATTTGAACTGTAGTAAACAAAAAAATAACTTCTCACTAAAACAGTACATGAATTACGTACATACTCACAATCAGGAAACACATACAATTCCTACCATTTCATTGTACTAAATTTTTTTAAATGTGTAACTTATACTGTAGTAAGTTATTTCACATGTTTCTTCATGAAAAATAAAGATATTACAAAAAAAAAGTATGTATAACCTAAATCTTAAGCAAATCCGCTTACCAAAACTTAGATTACTGGATCCGCACATGGTAAAAATAATAAAAGTAATAATTTCCAGTATTCTGGTAAGATAAATTAAAACAGGAATTTAATTTAACTTTTGAATATAGTTAAAATTTTAAAGGCATTTTATTTGAACATTTCCTTGACATAATGAACTAGTATTTGCTGTAAAGAGCTTGACTAAAATATTGGCTGTGAAATAAAATATAGGTGTAACTCAAATTTTTAATTTATTGATTTGAACTGTAGTAAACAAAAAAATAACTTCTCACTAAAACAGTACATGAATTACGTACATACTCACAATCAGGAAACACATACAATTCCTACCATTTCATTGTACTGTTGTGTCATCTAATGTCTAAAACACAATTCATTATATTTTCCAAATCATAAGAATGTCACCAAAACTAATTCATAAATAAAATATCTAAAAAGAAGGTCACGCATTCATTATAAAAATTGCACGAGCAATGATACTAATTATTGAATACAACCAATCAAGAGATCATTTGAGCCTTGATCACTTTACAATATTCTAAGTTTGTTAGAGAATAATAATCCCTTTCTTCGTGATAAGTACTCGCTTACGCTCGTATTTAATCATGAAGAGAGGAATTATCATTCTTTTACGTATACTAAAACTACAAACTCTTACGGGAGTTGTTTTTAGTAACAGTTGAGTAATGTTAAGTTTTTTTTTCAATCACTGTGTATAAAGTGTATATGTTGAAATTAAAACAGAAACTCACAAAAACTCTCAACAGAGTGTAGCATATATTCAAAAGAAAAATATCCAGCACTATATTTAAAAATAAATTTGCAAAAATTATGAAAAAGTCATAAATCATAGAGCACAGACAAACACATCTATTACAATCAAGGGACACAACCCAACCTTTCTTCCACCGAACTAACAGCTACAGGTATTCTATTTTAGATCTGAATGTAGATCTGATAAAAGGAATTTATTCCAACGAACTAATTAAAGTACATATACCACAATTATTTCAGTTTATGTCTACATGTATGTCTGATAGAAGAAATTCCTACCAACGGACTAACTGCTTCCTATATTTCATTGAAGGTTTGATAGAAGAAATGTCTACCAACTTACTTACTGCCACAAATATTACTTTTAGTTCAGGTTTGATAAAGAAAATTCTTCCAACAAACTAACAGCTACATGTGTTTCATTTTATATCTAAATGTAGGATTGATAGAGAAATTTCTTCCAACGAACTAACGGCTTAGATTAAATATTTCATTTTAGGTTTAAATCTGATAGAAGAAATTTCTTCCAACGAGCGAACAGCTCAAAGTTATTCATATTACGTTTGATAGAAGAAATTTCTTCCAACGAGCTAACTGCGATAATTATTATATTTTAGGATTTCTAATTTTGTTGTTTCTTACAGAGAAGAAATTTTTTCTAACCATTGAAGTTATCAAAAACCGTTTACAAAAAATAGAAAACAGTTGATACATTTGCACTTTTTTGATAAATTCATGAATTTTGCATATTTTTAAGTCTGCAACGAGGACATTCCTGGATTTTCCTTTTTTATTTTGAACTGTCTTATAGTTCGATAAATTGCTACTGTAACTATCTTCGATAGGTGCTGTGAAAGAATGAATACCCTTCCTATGGAGGCCTTTCGGGACACAGTATACGGGTAATGTTGTAATAGCCTAATAACAACGATATTAATCTTTGATGGCAAAATTTACACTTTTGTTTTGTTACAAAAGGACTAAAAGTTCAATGGCTATTCTTAAATTTTATTTAATGAACTAAAAGCAAAATGGTCAACAAAATTTAACCAAGGTGAGAGTTTTACATTAAATCAAGTTGGCCATTGAACTATTTTAAACATGCTTTTATTATTAGATATATGCATGCCTCTTTCTTTTTTGGTCATAGTCATTTACTTTCAAAATGTCTAGTAGTTTTCGAAAAAAAAGATGTCAAGTTGGTTCATTATTCAACATTCAACATTCAATATTCAATATTTTTTTCTTTTATTTTTTATAAACATTGGATTTTAACATTCAACATTAAAATTTTCAACATTCATCGTAGTTACTTCTGTTCTTATGCGTAACCTTTTAGATTTAGACATTCGGTAGTCGCTTATTCACACGTTTTAAACGTTATTTATCAGTGTCATAACTAAGTGTATGCATAGCTTTACAAGGTTAGAAAAGTACAATAACAGAGTGAGTAAATTCTTGGTAGTGTACAGTTCTCCAGGGAATTGAAGGCTGAGTAAATTCTTGGTAGTGTACAGTTCTCCAGAGAATTGAAGACATGTTTTGCATGTTGTATATTCTTTGCTCACTTTTTTCTTGACTTGTCTTCAAATATGAAAACTTGTTTTCTTTCATATTGATATTTTGTAGCAGCAGTTGAGTGTTTATCTTGATAAAAAAAAAGAAATAGCAGCAGTTGAGTGTTTATCTAAAGAATATTTAAAACAATATTATTCTATACATATAAGGGGATGTATAAGTACCCTGCCACGTCCACTCTGTGTCTTTGTTACATGTTTTTGTGCTTTGTATAGATCTGAACAGTAAAACCACTTCCAACTGATTTTTTGTTCATATGTTATACTGTTACACCACTGTCCCAGGTTAGGGGAAGGGTTGGGCCCCGCTAACATGTTTAACCCCGCCACATTCTGTATGTGCCTGTCCCAAGTCAGGAGTCTGTAATTCAGTGGTTGTCGTTTGTTGCTGTATATCATATTTGTTTTTCGTTCATTATTTTGTACATAAATCAGGCCGTTAGTTTTCTCGTTTGTATTGTTTTACCTTGTAATTTCGTGGCCTTTTATAGCTGACTATGCGGTATGAGTTTTACTCATTGTTGAAGCCGTACGGTGACCTATATTTGATCATTTCTGTGTCATTTGGTCTCTTGTGAAGAGTTGTCTAATTGGCAATCATACCAGATCTTCCTATTTTTATATTAGTATAGTAAATTGACATTGACATCTATTGAAGAACAGCGAGAAAAGCTCAATTCCCTTGCTTGTTTGTCTAAATTTTAAAGGTTTGAATTTGTATGGCAACTTTTCTTACCATAGATGGTTTTTCTACTGTGATGCCAAATTTTAAAACATTTTTTTTTTCCGTTTTTGGGTCTTATTAACATTCCTAATCCTATCAACTGCCTAAAAATACGGGCATTTTACATATTTGTAACTTTTAATCTCTGTCCTTCAGAGAACGCCCTAAATCAATACCTCATTAATCTATATATATAGCTATCTGTTTATTTTTCGGAATATGTTCAAAACAAACTTTATTTGGTGTATGGATTAAACGTAAGGTGTACATGTCCGTCTGACAGGATTTATCTGACCTTGATCTATTTTCATGGATCTATGAAAATGTTTAGTTTGTGTGATACTTGTAGTTAAGCATTTATCTTTAAGACTTTCAACATGAAATCAGTAATGCAGGCGTGACATTTCAGCGTGTGCACTCTTGTTACATTGTTAGCTTGTTATGTGTAGATGTGCATGAGGGTAGAAAGTTCCGGTACATTGAGTTTTTCTCACGTTAAGCCCCTTTCAACAGGAATTTTGGCAGAAATGAATTTGTCATCGCAGCTTCTCCTACATGGTGTATCGTTTATACTGTGTACATTGTTTAACTTAGATCCAAACAATTGTTGTGTATGTGGATAGGGTGTTCTAGTCTTTTGAGTGTTTTCTTTAGTATGCCTTTTTTATCATATTTACATGAAACTTAATACATTGCTAAATATTTGTATGTGTATATGCGTACGACTTTTTACAGTCAATTGAGTTTTTCCTGGATAATACCGAATTAAACATATAAAAAATGGCACTGTCCAGTTCCCACCATGTCATTGCGACTCCTCAAAGATGGTTCATTATATCTATATGAAACTTAGAATAAAATGTATGTCGGATGTTCGTTAAGAAGAGACAACATCAAATGTAACGCGAGAAAAAAGTTAAAATTTATATAATCAACTTCTTAGATTCCCTGTATTTTTTTCAAAACCATTCAATCATGAACTCGTGATTTGTAAATATGTGTGTGTGTGTGTGTGTGTGTAATGGGGAAAAAGGGGAGGGGTAATTAGCACAGCTTAGCTGACAGTTGCAGTAAACTGCTGTTTGTCCTCTTGATGTCGTTTAATTTTGTCGTTAGATTGCTGTTTCATTTACGTATAGTACTTAATATCTACTTTTACTACTTTTTTCCGCACCTGGAAGCCGTTTTGAAATTCAAATGCATCAAAAGTGGCAACAATTGTTCCATATTTGAAAGGAAAATAACTGTCAAAATAAAGAGAAGGAGATGTGATTGCCAATAAGACTTTTTTCCATCGAGATTGAAGATGGTCCGAGGTTGCTCTTAAATCTGACGGCAAGAGCATTATCGGAACAGATGAAAGGATATTGATATGAACAATTACATATCATATAACGGCCTTGGTATTTAAAAGCTCTGGAATGACAAGAAGAAAGTAAGTTTAAATTGGTTCAGTCGTTCCGTTCTTAAGATGTTCAAGGTCAGCATATCAAAAAAGACAAAATGCTATTGAGCCTAGTAGACGTTTGTTGACAAATCAACACTAAAGTAATAATTTTTTTGACGATGAGCGTCTACTTATATGAATCCTATATCATTCTGTGCAGATGTTCTCAAGAAATGACACCAGAAATATTAGCAAACGGTTTCAAACATCCAAGCTAAGCGATGACAATAATCAAAATGACTTTTGGTCACATAAGCTAAATAGTTCAGCTTCGAAGCTGGAAACCATCATTCTGATACAAAAAAGGTCATATGGACATTTCAGAATCCTACTTTTGTCAACTTTCTAACAAATTGAATAAGTTCCGATAGTTATACCCACGGGCTTGTTAATATAAAACAAGAAAATGTGAAATGATTTCGAATAAGACAGCTTTCAACCAGAGACAGAATGACGTAGACATCAGCAACTATAGGCCGACATTGATGCCTTCAACAATGAACAAAACCCAGCAATCTACGAAAGGCCAAGAGAAATGGCAAATGTAAAACAATGCAAACGAGAAAACGTACGGCCTGATTTATGTACAGAACAATAAACGAAAAACGAATATGATGTACAGCAATAAATGACAACCTATGAATAACAGGCTCCTTACTTAGGCCAGGCACATATACAATGTTGCGGGGTTAAACATGTAAGCGGGTGCCTAATTCTCTGCTTAACTGGGGACAGTGGCGCAATAGAACAACACAAGAACAAACTATACTACACAATTAATGAAAAACAAATATGTTTTACAGCAACAAACGAAAACTACTCAATTACAGGCTCCCGACTTGGGATATGCACATATAGAATGTTGCGGGGTTAAACATGCCTACGATAGGAGAGGAGCTTTATGTTTTCTTGTTTGTGTCTGTCCTTCTTTTTGTCCGTTCTTCTATTCGTCGCGTATAAGGTTAAAGTTTTTGTTCAAGTTAGTATATTATGTAAAGTTTAAGTGACATTAATTTGAAACTTTGTACATATGTAGATTATGATGTGAACTTTTTAAATTATATGTCAAATTACAGTTTTGACCCAAAATCAATGTTCACTGAACAAGGAAAATGATATTGCGAGCATAGCATTTTCTATCTTGACGATGTTTGGTTCATTGTCGATGTTTGTTTTCTTAGAAAGGTTTCGGATGTTTTAGGTTGACGTGGTGTGTAATACAGTTTAGTATTGTGGACAATTCCTATTCTCCCTTTTTTTAATTATGCATATCTTGCTGATCATTGCTTAACTGTTAACAGTTTCTGTTTTTTTTTAAATAAAGATTTTGAGATAATTGCAAAGTAGGCTAAAATTGGTAAACAATTGTCAATAAGGATCATTTAGTTTTTGTTTATCTTATAGTGGTGATAAGTTTTAAGATGGTGTAACATATTGTATAGAATAATTCATTGATTGTCTCTCATAGTTCTTAATAGAATGACACTTAGATATGTTTTAGTATTTAGGCTAATGATATTTTACTGTTAATTTAGATATACGCTTTGTTTTATATATGTTTTCTACGGAAGCCGGTTATGGCCACATTGAAAAAAAAATGTCGTGATTACGCTATACTATGTCGTAATAACGACATCTTCTGTCGTATTCGTAATAACGACATCCTATGTCATAATAACGATATCTTCTGTCGTGTTAGTAATAACGACATAAATTTGTCGTAATAACGTCATCTTCTGTCGTAATCGTACTAACGACATCATACGTCGTAATAACGACATTCAATGTCGTAATAATGGCAAACACACATCTCGGTGAATTCTTATAAGAGTTATTTCCCTTAAAGGACTACTACAACGTTTTGTTTTGTCTCTATGCCTAACGGTTTATAAGTTACACTGATACACTATTTATAAAGAACACAAACAGTAAGTTTGTTCTACTATATAAATGACTGTTGATCGCATCCAACTTTTCACTTCTCAGTAACAACATTACAGCAGCGCCTGCATATGGACTACATAGACAATAACTGTTTAGTGTCTTTAAAGATCAGCTGTATTTGAACGAGGATAAGAAACAGGTGTAATGCGAGCTTCAGTGAGACAGCTGATATTTTGTCTTTATCCTGCAGTTGATTTTGTACATTGTTTT